CTTCTGTGGACTCTAGGAACCACAAGTAAACCTGCACTCTGAGAGCGAAGTACTCTGTTAGGATGATAAGGCTCTACGAGGTCGTTAAGATACGATGGAGCCTTGTCATTAAGCGCTTTGTATGTTAGGAGAAGGATTTTAAATTCTATTCTGAATTTTACAGGGAGCCAGTGGAGAGAAGCTAATATGGGAGAGATATGATGTCTCTTGTTAGTTCCTGTCGGTACTCTGGCTGCAGCATTTTGGATTAACTGGAGGCTTTTTAGGGAACTATTGGGACATCCTGATAGTAAAGAGTTACAGTAATCCAGCCTGGAACCGGGTGACGTCTGAGCAGGTGTGACTCTCATTAGCGATGAGGTAGGCAGATAGCATTAAGGGCCTTGCCTGAGGACCCAGGCGAGATATTGACCATGCCCTGACCGAGGTTCGAATCCCCAACCTTCTGTACCAAAGTCAGTGGTGTTACCCACTGCACTATTCCTATATGTAAGTTCCCCACTTGCCCCCCACTTTTAGAAGTAGCGTCAAATAGTAGAAGTGGCTGATATCGAAAAATCCTACCAGAGGCTTTACACAGCTGGACTGAAAGACAGCACAGAGGCACTAATCAAGAACAAGCTCTAAGTACAAGATCAATAGAGACAGGGGTCTACCATACCAGACAGGACCCCAGGCGCAGGCTATGCAAAGATGCCCCTAAGACAATCCAGCACATAACAGCAGGGTGCAAGATGCTAGCTTGAAGAGAAGCTCAAGAAATACCAAGGGCTGAAAGAAGAGCCAGAAAAGATGTGGATGGTGAAGGCACAAGTGGTCCCCGTGGTAATAGGAACATTGGGGGCTGTGACCCCCAAACTGGGAGAGTGGTTCCAACAGATCCCAGGAACAACATCTGAGATCTCTGTCCAGAAGAGTGCAGTGCTAGGAACAGCTAAGATACTGTGCAGGACCCTCAAGCTCCCAGGCCTCTGGTAGAGGACCCGAGCTTGAAGGAAGGAA